GTGTGTGTGTGTGTGTGTGTGTGTGTGTGTGTGTGTGTGTGTGTTTGCATATATGCATGTGAGTATTATGCCCATGTGTTTGTGTGTACGTACGTGTGAGCCTGTGTGTGTTCGTGTTTTGTGTGCGCAAGTGTGCATGACGTGTCTCGCATGTGCCTCATGTGCTGGCTGTGTGACCTTGAGCCAGTTGCTTACCTTTCCTGGGCCTCCGTTCCCTAGTCTGTCTGGTGGGGTTAATAACAATGCCTGATTCATGCTGTGGTTGGCTATGTAGAGTGAGAATTCTGGAATTTTGGTTTCTTTACAAAGCGCAGATAAGAGTGTGCTCTTGTTTTAATCCCAGGTGTAGGGATGTGGGGATGTATCTGGCTGTTCGAAGCAGCTGACTATGATTTGCCTTGTGCTCTAGCAGAAGCGTGGTTTTGCCAGCTGTAGATAGTTTCTGTGATTGTGTGATGTTTGGAATTCTGGGAATTTTTCAGAGGGTGTGAAAATGCTAGGGCCCCAAGAGGTGGTCATTCAGGGGTTTGGTTGTGGTTCATTATTAGTCGTGCTCAAAGAAGAAACAAAAGAAAGAAATTAGATTCATGGATCTGTATCTCTCTCTTTCCTCCTTTCTCTCCTGTTTAGTGATAGGGACTGAAACTAGGGGGATAAAGGGTAGGAAAAAGAAGAACCTACAAAGTAGCAAAGACTGGCTACAGGTATGTGCCTCACTGTGAGCAATGGGTTCAGTGACCAGATTGAGCCTGGGTCTGCGGGCTCCATGGCCCATGGGTGGGTGTGCCCTGTGGCTCGGAAGGCTCGGACCCCACAGCTTTCTGAGATTGTGGCTGGAAGGCAGAAAGAAGCATTGCAGGTGCAAAGACCCTGTGGCCACCTGGGGCATGTGTGCATGAGTGTGGGTCTGTGGGAAAGCTAGAGGGGAGCAGCACGAGAGACTGGAAGGACTTCAGCCTCCAGGCTACTGCCCGGTGCCCCCATGTGCTCTGAGCTGCTATCCTTGGGCCTGACTTCTCCTGGCTGTGAAGCCAGCAGGGGCCTGGCGGGGAGGTAGCCAGCTGGTGATGTTGGATAGAAGAAGAAAGGCTGAGCATTTTCTCTAGAGTCACATAGCTGCTAGGAGGGAGGGGCAACTTTCTCTTGCAACTGGAAGTGACCTGTGTGTTTCTTCACTCCTTTCTCTTAGGGAGAGAGGGAGGGACTGGAGGTGGGCTATTCAGGCAACTGAAAAGCCTGACCTGAGGCCGCAGGAGGTGGATGCCGCAGAGAGGAAGTCACGGAATCATGGGAAGCCCACAGTGCTGGGATCTTAGATGTCCGGTCTCTTCTTCCTGTAGGGCTGCGCACTGAGGGCCTGTTCCGGAGATCAGCAAGCGCCCAGACCATCCGCCAGATACAGCGGCTGTATGATCAAGGTGCTGCCCTAGACCCCTCCCTCCAGCCCCCGTCCTTAGTGTAACTCCATACCCCACTTAATCCCAGAAACAGGTCTGCCCAGGAACCCTAACCACTATAGAGCAGAGAGGTCCTGGCTCCTGACACCAGCCTGCTGGGCAAGGCGCTGCCCCAGCCCTCAGTGCCTATGTGCCTTCTCTATTGGTACCAGGTAGCCACATGGTTCAAACTAACACGCGTGCAAGTGCAAAGTAGGGACATCATGTCCCAGCTCTCCACGGACAGCCCCCACTCTGCAAGCGGAGAACTCGCATCTGAGCTGGGGGTACCCCCAAAATAACACTAAGCAAGCAGCTGTCTTGTTCCTGGGGACAGTTGCCCTCTATTCCTGCTTGAGCCCCCCTCCACCCCTGCTCTCACTCATCAAAGTAGGCCCCACATGGTCCAGGGCTTTCCGTGTGCAGCCCCAGAGCTATGGTCCTTTCCTTGAAGCTCAAAACCTTACCCTAAGGGAACCACAGCGGGCTCTGTGGTCACCCTAAAAGAGGGATGCAGTAGCAGTGAGAGGGAAGCTGGTGGGGAAAAGCACCCCATACCCAGGAGGGGACAGAGGTATCCCCAGGACACATGGCTGTGACTCCCCCACCTCCCCCTCAATTTCCCAAGCCATGGTCTGAGCGAGGGGCTCAGTCACATCATGTCCTGTGTCCAGGGAAGCCGGTAAACTTTGATGACTACGGGGACATGCACGTCCCAGCCGTGATCCTGAAGACGTTTCTGCGAGAGCTGCCCCAGCCGCTGCTGACCTTCCAAGCCTACGAGCAGATTCTGGGGATCACCAGTACGTACCCCCTTGGACCCTGGCCTCGGGGCGTCCCTGCCTACTGACCCAGGTCAGCGTTGGCCTTGGCTGAGGCAGCGTCCACCTGATCTTGGTCCATTACTGTCCAGCCCTGTAGGTCAGCAGAGGGAAACTACCAGCCTCACCCCTCTATTCGATGAGGGTATAGGCTTCTGATGACATCCAACAGGCCACGACGTGCTTGGGGTGGGGTAGAGCAACCCCAGCTTGTCTGGTGGCCCTACCCAGGTGGCTGCATTTCTTCTTCAAGTGAAGTGTGCAGGCCCTTCCTGGAAGTCTCCAGAGACAATATTCGGCTGCTCTCTGCCTGCTCCCCGGGGAAGGGTTAAAAGGAACCAACACGTTAGCCAAGGTGGTCCAAGTCTCTCCCATGTCCTCTCCGTGGTCACCAGCCTCAGAAGAGGGGCCTGACACTGTCATCACAGCCCGGAGCTGGTGACCCCCTCGTGTCCCTGGAAATGTCAACTTCAAGGCAACTCCTTGTCCATTGAGGTTTCAAAGCAGCCACAGCTCGGTTCTCTAAGACGGTGATTTGTATGAGCAAGCCCTCAAGCTGTTTATAGACTGGAATCCTGTGTCACAATTACACACCTGCACAGTTCCAGGGTCTCCTCGTCAGTACACAGGCATAGTGGGAGGACAGGAGCGTGTCAGAGGCTGGGGGTTCAGGGACAGAGTTGAGTGTATGCCCCTAGGTGCACCTGCATTCAGGGAGCCGTGTGAGTACTTCCTCGTGGTGATTTTTTTAAGGTGTTTCTGCTGGAACCACTGAGCCACCTACTGTCTCTTTTACAAGTTTTCTTTCAGAAATGGCCCCACTATGTAGCCCAGGCTAACCTTGAACTTGCAATCTTCCTGTCTCAGCCTCCAAATGCTGGGATTGCAGGCCTCTGCAGCCACACTCAACTTAGTTTTTAACTCCAAGGCTGTCATGAGGGTCTGAGGGCATGGACTGGTTGGTAGAGTGGTTGCCTAGGAACCCTGGGCTCTGTGCCAGGGTATAGAGGCATTCACCTGTAATTCCAGCAGTTGGGAAGCGGAGGCAGGAGGCTTAGGAGTTCAAGGGTATATCCTCAGCTACATAGCAGGCTTGAGGCCAGCCTGAAGCATAAGTGATCCTTTCTCAAAACTAAACAAAGCTCAAATGGAGTGGGGCTAAAGGAACCTGAGGGTCTATGTGTGAAAGAGTTATACAGTCCCCACCCGCTCCCCTGGACATGGGGCTTTTCCCAAGAATGACACAGTGCGGTGATCCATGTACAGAGAATTGTAGGCAGATGCGCTTATCTTAAAGACAGGGAGTAAAGCTCTAGCCTTCCCCAGCCAAACGGTCTCCGTAGCAGCTACTGGCTCCATCCCTGTAACCCACAGAAAGCCCTCAGCCGATGTGTCAACACACAGCCATAGTTGTAAAATATTGCTGAGCTCTGGCATGGTGGTGGATGCTTCTGATGCCAGCATTTGGGCGGTAGAGGGAAGAAACAAAAGAAACGCGCTAGGCCAGATGTGGACTGCCACCTGTGTACAGCTTACCTGGCCCTGGTCTAGCCTTTTCCTGTTTGCAGAGTGATTCCCTGCCCTGTTCCCAGCAGGCGAGCAGTTTCTGTAACCATCACCCAGAGGAGGGAGGAGCTTGGTGAAAGTAGTGGGGGACTGTGCTCCCCCGAGCCAGCAGCCTCATGCTATTACAGGTGTGGAGAGCAGCCTGCGTGTGACCCATTGTCGCCTGATCCTGCAGGGCCTCCCAGAACACAACTATGCCGTCCTCCGCTACCTCATGGGCTTCTTGCATGAGGTAAGTGGGGGCTAGCTGCTTCCCAGGAGGAAGGCTAGCCCCAAGACTAGCTCCGGGGACCTCTTGACAGCAGTCCCCGCATAGACCGATCCTGTTTGCCCCAGGTCCAAAGTCACAGCCACTCCACTCTTTAACCACCAAAGGACTTCGCTCAAGACCCAGCCTCTGAGACGCCTGAAAATCTGTTGCAATGCCCGGGGATGGGAGCCAGGAGGGACATAGGGGCAGTCTGTCATATGATGTCATATTTTTGGCTTCGAATGTGTGGTATATATGTGTGTGTACATGTTCATGTGTTCGTGTATGCATATATATATATGGGAATGTGTGTGTGAAGGACAAAGGTCAATGTTAGAGGACTTCCTCAGTCACTCTCATTTTTGAAGACAAAGACTTACTCAACCTGGAGCTCATTTATTCAGCCAGTGTTTATTGGCTGGCCAGTGAGCAGTGAGCTACAGGGACCTGCCCTGTCTTTATTCTCCTGTACCCCAGTGCCCAAATAGGCATGTACCACCACACTCAATTTTCTCTTTCCTTCCTTTTCTTTTTCTTTCTTTCTTTCTTTCTTTCTTTCTTTCTTTCTTTCTTTCTTTCTTTCTTTCTTCCGTCTCTCCCTCCCTCCCTTCCGTCTTCCTTTCTTTCCCCTTTTTCTTTTCTTTCTTTCTTTCTTTTCTTTCTTTCTTTCTTTCTTTCTTTCTTTCTTTCTTTCTTTCTTTCTTTCTTTCTTTCTTTCTTTCTTCTCTAAGACAGGGCTTCTCTGTGTGGCCCTGGCTGTCCTAGAACTCACTCTGTAGACCAGGCTGTCCTCAAACTCAGAGATTCACCTGCCTCTGCCTCTTAAGTACCCCTTTTCCCCCAGCACCACACTTTTTTCTTTTTTTGTGGGTACAGGAAATTGAACCCAAGTCCTATAGCAAGTACTTTAGCCTCTGAGCCATCTCCCCACCTGCCTACCCCACACTCACAGCAAGCAGTTCTGTCTCTCTCGCTGTTGCCTGGTTAGTTCTCAGCCAAGCAAGGATGCTCTCAGACCCTCTTACCGGAGAACACACTTCTCAGGCTTCCACCTCGGGCACTGGTGTGAACTGGTCTTTGTCGTGTCTCTCCCACACAAGGGCTCAGGTCTCTTCCTTGCCTTCTGCACTCAGTGTCCTCATCTGCAAAGTGGGGAGTACTGGCTCCTACTTATCCAGGTAGCTGTGCCAGTCAGGAGGATGGGAGCCCCCGACACTGAAAGCACTTCAGCCTTGCCACTGTACCCAGGAACCTGAGCTCGGTTCACCAACCCTATCACACCAGAGCCAGAGGGTGTCTGCCTTAGATCTGCAACACTGGGCGCACTCCCCCACCAAACCCAGTCTGCCAAAGCGGAAGGGAGTTGATGGGGTGCTCAGAATATCCCAGACTGTGGAGTCAGAGGGTCCCCCCAGCGTCAAGGCCAGAACCTTTCACACATGGGGAAACTGAGAAACAGGCCTCAAGTGGAGAAGTGGCTATGCTAGATTTTGACACTGGCTGAGGCCTCTATTCCAAAACTCTTTTGTTTATCATTTGTTCGAGTGTGTATATGCATGTGCACGTGGAGGTCAGAAGACAGCGTTCAGCAAGCAGGTCCCCTTGGGCCACCACATGGGTCCCATAGTGTGAACTCAGACTGCAGAAATTACCATTACCCACTGAGCCATCTCACTGGCTCCATTGTTTCCTGAGATGTGGTCTTTCACTGGCCCTCAGGGGTGAGGCTGGAATCATGCAGAGCTCTCTCTACCACACCAGTCTCCCTCAGAGATGAGGACGGGAATCCAGGCTGCTGAGGCCCAGGGGTTCACAGGGGTTCACGTCTTGGTTTTCCTCATGGCCTCTTCCAGGTGTCCCGGGAGAGCATCGCAAACAAGATGAACAGCTACAACCTGGCCTGCGTGTTCGGGCTGAACTTAATCTGGCCATCTCAGGGGGTGGCTTCTCTGAGCGCCCTGGTGCCTCTGAACCTGTTCACGGAGCTGCTGATCGAGTATTACGACAAAGTCTTCAGTGCCCAGGAGAGCCCCAGGGAGCACAGCCAGGACACTGTGGAAACGCAGCCAGCTCACCCCGTCACCAAGGGGTTCACACAGGCGGGCACTCCCCGGGCCTCACCATACCTGTCACGCCTCAGAATCCCCTGACTGGCTGGAGACACCCCAAGATGGGAGACTGAAGGGACATGGGAACTTGCAGGCAAGGGGCCCAAGAGTTGCTGCAGGGAGGCTCCTGGCTTACTCTTCCCATCTGGACGGGGCGGGCCTTATACCACACTCACCCTTCCAGCTCTGGCAACTCCAGCTCTGTGGTGGTAAACAGGCCTGAGATAGAATTGTGTCCCACCCCCAGCACCGTCAGCTGGAACAAGTTTTCGTTCTCCTTTGCCTGATTCCTGTCTGGTCATGGGGCAAAGAGAACGCTGCATCCTCACCGAAGCTGGATGTTTGTTTATTTGTATCTGCCACTGAACAAGTAATGCAGGCGTTTGTTTCCTGGTTGTGTCAAAGTTGCTCAGCATGTGGAACCCGAGGCCCAGGCACGACCCATGATAGCTATGGACACAGCACAACCAAAAAGGGCAAACTTGCTTCAAACATGAGGGTTCTCTGTGATTTGGGGGGGTGGGGTGGGAGGTGGGGTAACTCAATTGTGAGGCTTTTTTTTTTTTCTTTCAAGACAGGGTTTCTCTGTGTAGCCTTGGCTGTCTTGGACTCTGCAGACCAGGCTGGCCTCAAACTCACAGAGATCTGCCTTTCCTCTGCCTCCCGAGTGCTGGGATTATAGGTGTGTGCCACCAAACCTGGCTAATTGTGCTGTTCTTTATTATTATTAATTTTTGTTTTACGGACATTGGTGTTTTGACATGTATGTCTGTGTGAGTGTTGGATCCCCTAGAACAAGAGTTACAGACAGTTGTGAGCTGCCATGTGGGTGCTGGGTATTGAACCTGGGTCCTCTGGAAGAGCAAGTCAGTTCTCTTAACTGCTGCGCCATCTCTCCAGCCCTGATCATGCATTTCCTAAGGGTGAGCTTGTAGACGCCACTGTGTCACACCACTGGAAGGTTGGACACTGGTGCATGTCTGAAGTTTGTCTCCTTGGTGGCCATCTCTGCTGGCAGCCTTCGGGGCCCTCAGCTGAAGTAGCCTCCAGCTAATGTCCAGCCTGCACCCAGCCGCATGTGTCGGCTGTCCCATTTCCCGCCCATCATGCTCTGTCATGTGTTCGCTGTCGATGCTGTCTTTCCTGGTCACCCAAGGCCACACAAATTCTCCTGGGCTTCGTGAAACTGACCGTGGCTGCTGCTTTTTCTTTTTCCTTTTTATCCCATTATCCTACAGAGCTTTTCTTTCCCTTTAGTTTCATTTCTTTTTTTCCTTTTCTTTTCCTCCCTCTTTATTTTTCTCTCTGATCTATCATTCATTCTTTCTGCATCTTTCTCCCTTTTTTCCTATTTTCCCTCCTGTCCCTCCTCCCCTCCCTCCTCTCCCCTTCCTTTCATCTAACAACCCTTCCACCCTGACCCCAAACATTCAAACAAAGTGGGCTCCCAGCAAGGCTCAGTACGGAACCCGAGGCAGCCGGCCCCCACATCCTGTCCACAGCCTCTTGGGAAGGACCACCGTGCCTCCGCACCATCCCCCTCTACGGCGTCTGTGCTCACAGAATGCTGAATAACCCCAACGGGTCTCAGAGTTGTGCTGGCAGGGAGAAAGAAAGAAAGAAAAATGATGGCTCCCTTAAGGGCTCGCCATTGTGAGCCCCGAATTAACAACGACATTAAATCAAGCCTCATGCATTATGCAGCGGGGTTTACGGGGAAAATGCATGTCTGTGAAATATATGTTTCAAATTTCCTGACTTGGAGAGGTGCCCCAGGATGGACTCCCGCGGCTCCTTTGATAACAGTTTCTCTTCACAATCGGTAATTGCAGAATCCCAGCCCAGCACTGCATGGCCCCGTCACCTTCCCGTATCTCCGAGCAATTTCCCGATCGGTCCCACAGCAAAAGAAAGTGATTATCGTGATCACATGCGGGAGGCACATGACACGTCCCAGCTTAAAACAATGCCGACAATGCCTGGATGAGGACTCCAGGGTGTCAGAGTCGCCGGGGCACACAGGACATGTTAGCCAAACAATCGCTTTTGCAGGCTTGACAGAGATTGCCAGTGACTGCGGAGGTTCAGCAGGCAGCCCAGAACTTGTGGCTGACATTCACAGTGGACCACAGACACCTGCCTGGCCAGACCCACACACATGCCAGGGTCTGCCATGGCGGGAGATACCAGGGAGGGAAAATGGAAGTGGGAAAATAAAAATCACTCATCAACAGCTGAAGCTGAGATTGATGCAGACCTTAAGACAGCAAATCGGAGCAGAGGGCGTCTAGGAATGACCTGGGAGAGAGGGACCAGAGCGGTGCAGCCGGCCTGTCCTTCATCAGGAAGAAGAGCAGGTAAGTCGAGGTGTGTCGGGTGGGGATGGTGACTGAAGAATGTCCTGTGATTAATATGGCCAGAACTGACCTGAGTGTGTCGATTTGGATCTCAGATTCTCCTGGTGACCATCTGTGCCGGTCAGCTCTGTCATACCTCTGTGTGACACCAAGACCAGCAGGAAAAGATCGCCCAAGGCCATCTCTGCGAGCCCACAACAGCTCACCACCGAATGGCTTCATACATACCGAATGATACACAAGCGGAGGTAGTTATTAAAAACTGGATGGCGGGTACCGTGCGATGGCTCAGCGAGGCGCCTGCCCGAAAGCCTGGTGCTCAAAGCTTAGTTCCTGGAACTGCCTTTCACGAGTTGTCTTCTGACCTCCACATGTGCACCCTGGCATGCGTGTGCCCACACACATGTGCACACATACACACCAGGAAAAAAAAAAAAGTGAATGGGGGTTACAGAGAATGTGGCTTGATGGTAGAGCACTTGCCTAGCCTAAGGGAGAGTTCCACCCCTTGGTGCTTGGGGAAGGAGGGATAAGGAGAAGGGATGTGGGAGGCACACGAAGTGTGAAAGCACAAACTCGCTGAACTCCTGGACCCACGCCATGCTGACAGAATGTCACACTCAGTGGCCGAGGGGTGTGCGTTACTCCTAAGCACACAGGATTCGGTGACCAATGTAGGTCGGAGACTAGGTCATAAGACCCAGATCGATGATCTCCAGGGCAAAGAACCCAAGTATATAAAATGTTTTAAAAGAAATACACAAATCAGTGTTAAAGGTCAGAATAGAAGCCTCTTCTAACTTTGTTGTTGTTTTAAAAGATTTTGTTCAGCTGGGCGGTAATGGCACACGCCTTTGATCCCAGCACTTGGGAGGCAGAGGCAGGCAGATCTCTGAGTTTGAGGCCAGCCTGGCCTACAGAGCTACACTTTTTTTTTTTTTTTTTTTTTTTTTTTTTGGTAGACACAGAGTTTCTCACTGGCCAATTATGCTGGACTCGTTGGCCAAGCAAGCCCCAGAATTCTGTCTGTTTGCCTCCTTAGTACTAGGGTTACAAGAAAGTGCCATAATGCTTGCCTTTTCTTTTTTCTTTCTTTTTTTCCCCCCATGGGTTCTGGGGCTCAGGCTCAGGGCCTCTGGCTAATATGGCAAGCACTTTGCTGACTGAGCCATCTCCTCAGCTCCCAAGAAAATAATTTGAATCCACATTCCAAGTAATCTAAAGACATTGCTAATGTCACAACATATCAACATTCATGGAGTGTTAAAGCAGGACCTCCAGGGAGAGCTAAAAGCTTGTAGAAAAAAAAAATCTAAAAGCAATGACTAGTGTTGCACCATAAGAGTCAAGGGAAGGAAATAAAAAGCACAGAAATTTGGGCTAAAAAGTATGCCCTAGTTTTCTTCCTTCTTTCCTTCCTTCTTCCCCCCCCCCCCACCCCTCTGACACAGAATCTTACTACATAGCCTTGGCTGTTCGTGGGACCCACTATTTAGAAAAGACTGGCCTCAAACTCTGAGATAGGCCTGCTCCTTCCTTCCAACGCTAGGATTAAAGGCATGAGCCATCACGGCTGGACCTTAGCTTCATTTCTGTTGCTCTGACAAAACCCCTGACTAAAACCATCCTTTGGAAGAAAGGGTTTATTTGGCTTACATGCCCCAAACAATGGTTGATCATTGAGCGAAGTCAAAAGGCAGGACCTCGAGGCAGGAACTGAAGCAGGGGCCAGAGAGGAACACTGCTTACCGCCTTGCTCCTCACGGCCCTGTCAGCTTTGCTTTCTCATACAGCCCAGGACCACCTGGCCAGGGGTGGCACCGCCCACTGTGCGCTGAGCTCCCACGTCAATCACTAATCAAGAAAATGTTCCCACAGACTTGCCTGCAAGAATTTGGTGGAGATATTTTCTCAACTGAGATTCCCTTTTTCAAATGACTGGAGCACAGCGGTTCTCAACTTTCCTAATGCTGCGACCCTTTAACGCAGTTCCTCATGTGGTGGTGACTCCCAAACATAAAATTATTTTTGTGGCTACTCCATAACTGCAATTTTGCTGCTGTTATGAATCATAATGTAAATACCTGTGCTTTCTGATGGTCTTAGGGGTCTTAGGCAACCCCTGGGAAAACCCTCAAAGGGTTGTGACCCACAGATTGAGAACCATTATTCTAGCACCTGGTGTCAATTTGACAAACAAGTGACCAACACAAGCTGGGAGTGGTGGCACACACTTGTAATTTTAGCGCTTGGGAGGCTGGGGCAGGAGGATTGTGAGCTTTGGGTCAGCATGGGTTATCTAACAAGACCTTGTCTCAAACAAAGCAAAAGAAAAGAGAAATTGGGGCTGGCATGCAGCTCAGTGGCAGAGCTCTTTGCTTGACCTGGGTCCCATCCCTGGTACCCAAACCAAACCAAACCAATAAATCAGTAACAGACAATAGAGAATATAAACAAATCCAAAAGTCAGCCCTTCATATAAATACATGCATTCATGAACCCCTTGACAGACAACAGATCAGGGTGAGAGGAAGCACAAATTAAAAAAGAAAAAGTGCTTATTGCTTTAGCATGCATGGAAAGCAAAATGATCATCAAAATGTCATGAGCAATTTTATGCCAAAATCGGCCTAAGTGATAATTCCTTGAATAACTCTACATATTGGACCTGACAGCAGAATAGATACTATCCCAACAGCCCTGTGTATTAAGCATATTGAGATGTGAAATGGAAATATCTCACAAACGAAACTCTTACTCCAGATGGCTTTGCTAGTGCATCCTAACAAAAAGACAGTTTTGGGGAAACAAGGGGCATGTTTCTGACTTATTTAATGTAACTGTGTCCGAGGCATCAAGAAGACGGGAAAATTTAACCCATGGAAACATCAGTACAGAACACTTAATTTTGGCACGTCAAATGGAGCTGTGGGGAGGCAGTGCTGTAAACAAGCAGGGTTTGTTCCTAGAATTTAAACTTGGTTTAGTGTTTGAAAATTAATATAATCACATTTGCTGAATCAGTGGACACTCACAATTTAAAAAGCATGGTGTATATGCACTTGAAAAAAAAAAGAAAAACAATCGTGATTTAGAAACAAACAAACAAACGAAAGAACCCTACTGCCTGGCAGGAAGGCTCAGCAATTGAGGCTCTTGCCGAAGACTAAAGTTTGGTTCCCAGAGACCACACTGGGCAGCTTGTAACTAGAGCTCCAGCCATGGAATCTGACACCCTCTTCTGGCTTCCATGAGTAACCTGAACTCATGTGGGAGCACACACACATAAAAATAAAACCAAAACCCAAAGCAAACTGAGAATAGTTTGATAGAATATCTATCATACTATTGATTATCAACCTGATCTGATTCAGAATCACCCTGAGAGAAGCCTCTGGGCATGCCGGTGAGGGATCTCAAAATTAGATTAACTGAAAAGACCAGTCCTGGATGGGTGGCACCTTCTGATGGTTGAGGCCCAGATATAAACATGTCCACAGGAAAGCATGTTTCTTGCCTGTCTCCCTTGGCCTCTTGCTGGTGAGGGCTGATGTCAGAACTCGCCTTCTTCAGTCTTTCCAGCCACTGAACACCAGCGTCTACCTGGAAGTCCCACAGGCCTTTGGCACCAAATTGAGACTGCTGAGGCATCCATCCTCAAGGACTGAGCTACTGGGTTCCCAGCCTGTCCCGTGTGAGGCAGCCTCTGCTCGACTACCCAGCCTGTAGCCTGTAAACCAACGTAATGATTCCCTTTAACTATGCGTTCATTCTGCCTGTTCTCTTCCTTTAAAGAACCCCGACCAGCACAGTCCTTACGGTGATGTTATCGACGCTTTATCATTAGCAAAAGATGCTGAGTCTCACCTCTTCCATTCCATAATGGGCTGGACATCCAACTACTGTAGGAGGCAGAGAAGTGAGAGCTACAAAGATGAGGAAGGACATCGACAGACATGGTGGCACATGCCTCTGATCCCAGCACCTGGGAGGCAGAGGTGCGTGGACCTCAGTGAGTTCCAGGCCTGCCAGAGCGACACAGTGAGACTCGTCTCAAAAGCCAAAACAAACAGAAAGAAATATAGACAAGTATGTAATGGAAGTTTTGGTTTCTTTAAAAACTCAGTTATGTTACCTAAATAAGTTTTTGTTTTAACCCAAGCATGGGATTTTAGTTTGTGCTTGAGTTTGTCCACAGCTGATAACTGCCTCCTGTGGGGTGTGGTCTTTGCCAGCTGGTAACAGCCTGCCTCATGCAGCATGGAGAGAGGTGTGGTCTAGGACTCTGAGGGATAAAATATGAGAGCCCAGAAAGAGAAGGGGTGTGGCAGTTTGGAGAGACACAGGAGAGACGCTTCCTGTTGCAGAGGCTTGGAGGAGATTGGTATAGAGCCCCAAAAGAAACCATCGACCCTAAACAGCCTGGAGAAGTAAAGCAGCCTGTGCTCCTCTCCCTGCTAACCTTCTCTCTCTTACCCAGAGTTAAAGGGATGGTGGAAGGGAGGTAGAGGCTTAAATACCCCAAGAAAACAATAGTTTAAAAATGAGTGCTACAGGTGTGCTCTCAACGAGTGCTCTCAACATGTTTGGTAAGAAAACAATTAAAATAGACTAAAAGGGCTAACAAGTGACACCCAGACGTGGCTTAGAAATAATGGGGAAATTGGTTTCTAATGCCATACAGGGGACAGTAACTTACGAAAGAATGATTGTATTGTTTCAAAATGTCAGCAAAAAAGTTTAGAGCGGTGGCTGCTGCTGGGTTCTCCCCTGAGTTGCTCCCAGATGGGACTTTCCGGTTTTGCTTTGCTTTCTTCCTGTATTCCGTTTTTAAAAAGATTGGAAGAGTGACTGAACAGTTACGAGTGGATATGAAGATGTTTGAGAAAAAGGTGGATGAAATATGAAAACCGGAAGTGTCACTCAATTCTCTCCTTTCGGAAAGGATTACTTACAGAGTTGGCTGTGCAACAGGGAAGTTTATGATATCCTTGGATGACGCTATCCCAGCCATAGGATGACCCAGCACAGGGTCACGAGGGTGGTGTGAGTTGGGGTAGGTGAAGCTGCGGATGCTGAGAAGTCAGTCCTCTCGCAGCAGAGCTATGATGCCGGGCTCTCATGGCAGAGTGGAGGAGATCGCAGAGGGATGCTTGGAAAGTCCCCCAGTTTGGTGGGGGCTGGGGACAGTAGGAGCTGGCCCTGCCTCTTGTGGGTGAGACAGATGGGTGGAGGAGGATGGACAACAGGGCTGTGAAGACAAGGGCCAGGTGGAGCCGCTCTTCCTCACCCCTCCACCTGCTCAGCATGGCATCCTGGCCAAGAGATGGGCAACCTCGGGGCAGCAGCCTTGTTCTCAGCCATTTCTGCAGACTGTAATGGGGTGTCTTGGCTGTCAACTTGATCTGGCCGGGAAGCACCTTGGAACTTGGTAAAGCTCACCCCTGGGTGTGTTTGTGGAGGTGTGTGCAGAGCCACTTCAGTATGAAAGTGAGCGGTGCCATGTCTGCAGGCCAGGGAGATGAAAAGGGCAGGGGTGGCGGCGGGGAGAGATGGCTCAGAGGTTAAGAACTCGCACTGCTCTTGCAGAAGACCTGGGTTACGTTCCCAGCACCCATGTGGTGGCTCTCACTGCCCGTGATACCAGTTCCAGGGGATCTGATACCTCCTTTGACCTTCAAAGGCTCCTGGAACGTGCATTCGGTGCACATACATGCACTCAGGCACATACGCACACACACACAAAATAAAATCACTAAATTTAAAAATAAGGAAATAAATGACTGCATGAGTAAATATCAAACAATTTTAAAAAGGGGGTAGAGGGGCCAGAGCAACAGTTAGTACAACTCTCTCTCTCTCTTTCTCCTTCCCTCCCTCCCCTCTCCAAGCACCCTTTCTCCGTATATCTCTTCTTCCTGACCAATATGGTGCTCTACCCAGCCAGGCCTCCCACCACCCACCATGATGGGATGGACCAAAACCTTAGAATCTACAAGCCAAAAGTAAAAAGCAAATCTTTGCCCCTTCAAGCTGTTTCATTCAAGCGCTTTGCCTAACACAAGGATAAATTCTTCTATCATTCTTCCTGATAGTCGTGAAGACTAAACAACCAACAGGAACAGGCAGGGGTGGGCCAGCCCAGGGATCTGGGAAAGCTGCAGTGAGAGGGGGACAATGGCCAAGGTCAAGTCTTGAAGCAACCTGGGCAGGCAGTGAGCAAGAGCATGCAGAGCAGAGGCCCCGTGTGTGCAAAGGCCCTGTAGCGGGAGCATGCTTTGTCAGTTGAGGTAGAGCAGAGGAAGAGATGATGGAGAGCAGAGCCCTGTGGCCCTGGATGCCACAAGGAAGGCAGGTGGAGCAAGGATGTGAACTTTAGCTGAGCACAAAGGGCACAGACCTTTGGGCAGTCATCTCACCCACACCTGTTAATAGCTACAAAGCCACTGAGTAGGAAGGAGCAACCGTGATCTAAATCTAGGTGACAAGAAAGAGGGCTGAGGGCCAAGTGACAAAGACCTTGGAGCAGCAGAGAGATAGGTCCTGTCCCACTTGTCTCAGTGACACAGGTTTACCAGAGAAGGGCGTGGAGGTCACAGGACCATGGGTATCTCTCCGGGTCCTGCTGGGGAAGGGACCAGCTCAGTGGAGTCTATGCTGAATCAGAGAGGTCAGTCCCGGGGGCTACCAGTGTAGAGCCACGAACTGAGGGAATGGCTATCAAAGGAGCTCTGGAGAGAGCAGAGGCTGGTGCGGTCTGGAGGCCTCCGGAGTGTGAGGGTTAGGCAGGAAGAAGCAGCATCCTGGAGTAGACAGGGGAAGTCAGCCCAGCCATTCTGAAACCCACCCAGTTGCCCCAGAGCTCGCCAGAGCCCCGAGCTGAAAGCAAGGACACAGGACCACCAGGCTTTGAAATTGGGTTTAATGCATCATACAGAAGGAAAACTACACTGGCATACTTAAGACGAACACTTTCTCTAGCCACTATCCACTGGACGGTCCTCCTTGGTCCCCCAAAAAAACTAAGTCTCAAAGACACGTCAGCAGCTCCCCCTCCCGGGTCCAACCTTCCAACATCCTCCCGCGTTTCTCACAAAACTGAACTCAATCCATCCAAGAAGAAAAATCAAGCCAACAACGACGACAACAAAAAAGAACCTGAAGACAGTTACATTGCCAGCCGAGAGGTAACGCAAAGTTGGCACGGTGCAACCAACACAGAAGGGCGTGCGCCTCACACGGCTCACGTCGCTCATCAATAAAAGCATATAAAAATCTTGTTCAACCCAGTGTAATGTGTATTAAAATAGATTTGTATCCTACAGCACAGTTTCTCCCGGAGTCGTGAAAAAAAAAAAAAAAATAACAACACGGAAAGCGGCCAGTGGGTGGGGTCCCGGCCGGCCTTCCCACTCTGCGAGCGCGCGCGCCTGCGTGCACAGGGGTGTGCGTCTGTGGCCCTGGTGAGTGCACACACACTCACTGCGATTCGGCACCATGTGATATGCTCAGGGGAGCCCTGTGGCTCCTGGTCGAGTATGGGTTGTGCTGGGTCCCTCGGGACAGGGTGGGGCTTTGCGAGGTGGGCTGCATGGCTCACAGGGGTGCAGGACTCCCCAAGGGGGCCTAGGAGCCTACACTCCCTGCAAATGAGGAGACAGCATTGGGGGTCCTGGAGTCTCCAAAGGCCAGGCCCTTAGGTGCACCACCCTCTCTGCCTTCCCCCCTGGATCTCTAAATCCCTTCTGGGTGCTCCATGTGGTCCCTCTCAGGGGAGGTTTCCCCATTCCTGCATCGGAGCAGAGACTACCAGATGCAGAGGAAGGCAGGCAGGGGCGCAATTCACATTACGGATCGTATGACGACAACAACAACAACAAAAAAAACCTCTATACAAAAAGTGTGAAGCTCTTTTTGGCATAGTGTCTTTAACTGGCAAGGAGTGGGCAAGGAGGCTTGGTGGCTCCTGCAAAGGAGAGTGCCCAAAAGGCTCCCGTTGTGAGGTGAAGCCTGCCAGGGGCCTCCCCTGCCCAGAACTCCATGAGGAAAATTCCAGAGATTGGCAATAGGAAGAGGTGGGCGGCAGCAAGAGCGCGGGCTAGGGAAGGATGAGGCAGAGGCCAGGCTGGGCAGCCCATGCAGCGGTTACCCCAGGAGAAGGCGGCCTCCCTTGTCCAGCTATATGACTGACTTTTCAAAATAGTAATACTGGTGGGTTAGGAGCCAGGAGGGCAGAGCTACCTTGGAGAGCCAGGGAGCCCCAGGGAGAGCTACCTTGGCTAGCGACCCTCTCTCGTACCAGGGGTTCACCCTGCCCACTCCACTAGCCAGCTACCTGTTGTCCACTCACTTCCCCACAGGCCATTCGTGGCCCAGTCTGCCTCACTCTCCACAGTCTGAAGTCTTCCTCTCCTGAGGAGGGCAACACAACAGGAGAGCTGGCCACGAAAGGCGAAAGGCAGGGAGGTCTGACAGCTTCGGGGGAGGGCCACCTGTGCCTGGATCTGAGCCACCCTCAACCGGCCTTCAGGTATCCCCTGCCACGGGGGCAGGGATTTACCTCATGCTGGCTCTGGCTCTAGGATGCTCACCTCACTCCTTTCTCCCCTCCATCACTCTGTCTAGTTTATTTTCATCTAAAATTCATAGAGTTTATGAATTAAGGCCGACAGATTTCCCCCAGGTCTTGAGAGCAAGGTCCCAGTAACTTTCCATGAACGTTATCTGGGGTCCCTGGGGTCAGTTGTGGTTCTGGGGGTGCTGGAGGGCAGTGCGCATGGTGGTGGTGGAAGGCTTGGTCCAGGGCCCAGCCAGAAGTGGGGTGGGGCTGGTGGTTGCCATAGCGACCTGAAGCATCTGCTCACCCTGGATCAGTCTCAGAAGGGCCCGGATGCGATCCAGCGACGACTGTGTGCCCCTCTGCCGGGCCAAGAGGCTTGTCTTCAGCTCCAGGCATTTCTGTCAAGGGCAGAAGTATTGGAGATGGTCTCAGAATTGAGTTCTGTAGCATCCCGGGCCAGCCACCTTCTTTCTCACAAAGCCTCCCTCCTACCCATCCCCAGCAGAGCCTGAAAGAAGCCAAGGATCTCACACACACACACACACACACACACACACACACACACACACACACACAAAAGGATTAAAGGATTAAAGAGATGTCTGGAGTGGCACGCTGGCACCAGGGATGCCTGTCCCTGAAAAAAGCTGTCAGGTTCCATCTAGGCAGGAAGCAGCCAGTGAAGCCCACAGAACTTGCCAGCCTGCTCTCCTCTCCTGCCTGCCCGCTAGCTTCTCTGTGTGCCACACAGAGATGACACGACAGTGGGATTGAGACCTCGACTGAGACAAACGGCCACGGCTCTAGGTCAAATGCTGCCAGTGCTATATTGACCTCCTTGGGGCACCCCTCAAACTAGGATACGAACAACTGGGGACTCTCACATGGCTTGTGATGGCTACTCTTGGTTGTCAACGTGACTACGTGTGTATCTGGCTGAAACTCAAATGGCTGTACACTTGTGATGGATTTGTTTTTAATTAGATCATTTTAAGTGAGAAGACCCGTGTCTAATCCTTATCTTTGAGGTGGGAAGATAACCACTGATCCAGATCTTTTGAGGTAGGAAGGTCCACCTTTAATCTGGGCCACACCTTCTGCTGGCCTAGAACGTGGTTCCAGAGTGAGTGGGGAGTGCTCCTGGCAGGAGCCACCACAAACATTCATTGACCTGGAAGCTCAGACATCTCGCCTGGCTACTTTGAGCTTCTGAGGCCCTTAAGACAACAAGGCTAAGAAAGGGAATAACAGTGTTAGGAGGGTGACTAATCCAGATGACCAAGGGAAAACTGGATTGCTCCTCCACAATGGAGCTGAGAAAAATTATGTCTGGAGTTGAGGAAATCCTTTCGGGCATCTCTTGGTGCTACCATGTCCTGTGATTAAAGTCAATGGGAAACCGCAACAGCCTAATCCAGGCCGGATGACAAAAGGTACAGACTTTTTCAGAAATGAAAGTATGGGTCACTCTTTGAAGAAAAGAGCCAAGATCTGCTGAGGTCCTTGCTGAGGGTAGAGGAAATAAAAAATGGGTAGCAGAAAAAAGTAGTTGTAAATACTAGCTAAGGCCATGTGACCAGTTACAGAAATGACTATAATTGACTTGAGTGTTTCTGTCATATTTTGTTAAGAATGTATGTCAGGCCTGGTGGTAATGGTGCACACCTTTCATCCCAACACTTGGGAGGCAGAGGCAGGTGATCTCTTGGGTTTGAGACAAGCTTGGCCTATGGACTGAGTCCCAGGACAGTCAAGGCTACGTAGAGAAATCCTGCCTTGAAAAACCAAACCAAACCAAACCAAACCAAACCAAACCAAACCAAACAACAACAGAAGAACGAATGCCAGCTGATCTAGTGCCTCAACCTCTGTCCCTTTTGTGGCCTCCAAGCTGCCTGAGGCCTAGGGCCTGGAAAACATAGGCAGAGCCTGGAGAAGCTCTTTCCTAAATCTGTGGTCAAATACTGGTGCCCAGAAGCAAAGGGGGTGCTCCAGAAAAATGGAGTCAGCGAGAAGTCACCTCCCTCTGCCAGGGGGAGGGCCTGGAGGCTGCCCCTTCCTGGGCTGTGCGTACAGGCAAGTTGCGAACATGAACTGTGAGTGGGTGACTACACAGGCAGGTATGTGTGTGTGTAGGCTTGTGTATTTGTGCTTGTGTACATGAACATGTGTGTGGGGATGTGTGAGGGACAGTATGTGTGGGGTGCTGAGACTTCAGCCAACGTCCCAGTGTCACTGTAGAGACAGGACAGCGAGGCTTCAGCAGCAAGGGCGGGAAGAGCCCTGGAGCTTCAGGAAGCAGGCTGCTGGGTCCCTGGAAGATGTTTCCAAGGTTTTGAGAGTTGGGGAGGGGCCCAGCATTTCCCTCTCCCTGTGCTGTGACTTAGGCACAGGAGGACCTGGGAACTCCAAGAGCTGAGTAGCCAGGCAGACAGACTGTTGGGAAGGGCACTGAGGAGGTCCAATTGTGGGCCTTGAGAGCAGATTTGTGAGCGAGCTGGTGGGGAGGCCAGCACACCTCTCTGTGAATGGAATGACCTTCACCACCACGTCACCAAAGTGGCACTGGAGAGCACTGGAAAGCCCGGCAGACCTGGGACTCTTATCCCAAGGATATTAGGGAGCACTGCAGAACTGGGGCTTTTATCCCAAGGGCACTGAGGAGCACTGCAGATCTGGAGCTTTAATCCCAAGGGCACTGGGGAGCACTGCAGTGGGGGATGGTGGCTCTTATCCCAAGGGTACTAGGGAGCACTGCAGTGGGGGATGGTGGCACACATCTTTAATCCTAGCAATCAAAAGGTAGAGGCAGGAGATCTCTGTGAGTTCGAAGTCACCTGATCTATATAGTGAGTTCCAGGATAGCCAAGGCTACACAGAAAGACCCTGTCTCAAACACACACACACACACACACACACACACACACACACACACACACACA